AGTCCTAATCCCAGCTAAACACCTCTGGTGTGACTGTAAATGCAGTCCTTGAGCCAAAAACTTAGACCAAACACCAATGACTTGTGCATATGGGTACAGTCATTTTAGACACTTCCAAAACTGAAGCAACAGAGATGGAAATACAATTTTTAAATGCATGAATTATGCTTCCATTTTTGTTGCTACAGTTTTGGAAGTGCCCTTTTCTGTTCTAAAGAAAGGGGTGTCCCAATACTTTTGTCCATGTAGTGTATGTACAAGTCATTGGTGTTTGGTGGTGAGTTTTTGGCTCAAGGTCTGAATTTAAAGTCACACCAGAGGTGTTCAGCAGGGATTAGAACTTGGCTTATGCAGACCAGTCAAGTTCTTCCACACTGACTGAATCAATAATTTCTCCATGAACCTTGTCTTATACACAGAGGCATTGTCATGTTAGAATAAAAAAGGGTCCTGTCCAAACTTTTGCTATAAAATTAGAAGCACACAATTCCCTAGAATATCATTATATGCTTAAACATTAAGATTTGTACTCATGGAAATTGCTAAAGTAAAGTCAAACCTGTTCATTAGAAGGGGGTGTCCCAATACTTTTGGCAATATAGTGTATTTCACTAAAAGGTAATAATGTCAACCAGAAGTAGCACCATAGGACTGCCAAAATTATATCAAAATAAATAGGTTTTAAGCTTCTAGGTAGACCAGAAATAAAAGCCAATGTTGCTAAAAGTATTTCACAAGTAATTGAATGAATTGTGCTGTAGTAATTGCTGTAACACTTACGATCACACGGACTGTTTCTCCTGGGCTGGTCAGGGGGTGTCAAGCTAGAAGGAGAAACTGTTGGTCTGGTAGCAGCTCGAGGAGGAATGACAGTTGGAGGAGCAATAGCTGGTGCCGAGGGTAAAGCTAATGGAGCCATGCTGATTTTCCCTCTGGGTTGCTCATTAGTGATGTCATTGTCTTCACTCTCTGAGTCCAACAGTCTGGATGTGACTCTATTAAACAAAGGAAGTTTCAAGCATAAGCCAAAAATGTGGACAAGGAAAATCCATGCATTTCACATGTGTGTATTGTGCACTGAACTCAAATGAAACTGTAGTCATTAAAAATGTTGGTAACACATGAATAATGCATTATAAAGGTAGGCCTAAAGTATTCAGAATGTAGGTTGTAATACATTATATCTTTTTTTTTTATAAATAATTGTAACCGAAGCAAAAAAGCAAAAACTCTAGTGATTAAATCAGAAAAATATAAAGGCCTCTGTTTTTCTAGACAGCATAAGCAGAATCTCAGGTTGATGGAACAAACTAGGGGTGTAATGATATATAGCCTACCTAGATTTTGAACCCACGGATCAGTACAGTTTTGGGAGAGCAGGTGAAAAACTTTAGTATATCTTCTTTTTTATTAAACAGTGGTTAAGTTAAAGTTACATTTTTCCTAAGGACAAAAATCTACCTCAGCTAATGCTGTATAATATTAAAGGTTACGTTTAACAAGTTCATTTGCTACTTATTTTCAGATAATAATCAACGCTCAAATAAGTAAACAAATAAATAAATATGTATGTATGCAATGCAAACATGCAAATTGCACATAAGGCAGTTTTAAATTAACTTCTAAATCTATTTGTTGCGATATTTATTTAAACACATTAAATAAATAAAGATATCACTAACAGGTTGTCACAGCGAAAACACCACAAGCGTTTAGATATGGACCCAATTGCTCAAGGCTTTATTAACAAACAGGAGAGGTAAAGATGATAGCAGCAGGCATAAACTAATATAAGATAAAGAAGAATGTTCCACTGACTGAGATATGGGTAAGTAAATGTCAATAAACTACAGGAGAATACAGAACTACAGAAAGATAACACTGCGTAAGACAGGGGTGGCCAAACTCGGTCCTGGAGGGCCGGTGTCCTCCAACTTGCCTGAACACACCTGTCGGGAAGTTTCTAGTATGCCTAGTATGAGCTTGATTAGCTGGTTCAGGTGTGTCTAATTGGGGTTGGAGCTAGTCAGTCAGAAGACTAGACGTTCAGCTTGGGTTTGTGGAGAAAATATAGTGTCTTTGATGAGCTGCATGATAGCATGTTGTCAATCAGAACTCGAGTAAATGGGTTCGGAGAGTGGACTGAGGGCTGTAGCTGGGGTTTTCAGGGCCCTGTTTGAATTTTTTTAATTTGTATGTTTATTCTATTTATTTATTTACGCTATTTACACAATGTTTAGGTACAACAACATAATTAACAAAATGTAAAATAGCACTGTCTTCAGTGTATAAATTAAATATAGATTAATTCTTGTTAAAACTACAAAGTAATTCAGTAAAGAGCAGCATTAAGGACACTGACAGCAGCTAGTAAATTTGGCGCGGTCACTTTAATAGATGATACATCCAATATAATGATACACATTTCTTTCTCAACTGTTTACTTTCGCTTAAGACCTAACCCACCATTTTTTCGAGGATACTTGCAAAGACAGGTATTGTGACAATTTTGTATGTATTTGTCGTTTCAAGAGCAAGAAGCGACAACTCAATTCGGTGTAGGGCTGTAGACGCGGCTCTCTGCATGCACACTGTACGCACAGGCAAGGCTTAAAACACGTGCAATTGATAAGCTTTCGTGACGACGCGCTGGCCGTCTTTTTATGCTGGCCTCGGGCAGTTGTTTGAAATCGCCAGGGCCCCCCCTCTCTACACGCCGCTTCGCTAAAGATATGAGCCTCGCCTATTTTTGAAGGTAAGAGTGTGCGCTCTAATATGCTCTAGAACAGGGATCCTCAAATCTGGCCCACGAGATCCACTTTCCTGCAGAGTTTAGCTCTAACCCTAATCAAACACACCT